CGGCGGAAAGACTCAAGAAGGGAGGGAGGAAGGAGGGGCGGGAGATGATGGGCGGCGCACCGCGGCGGACTGGGGGTTCCACTTGTTGGAGGAAAAAGAGGATATCCCATCCCTCTCTCCATGTCCCCATGAAAGGGGAATCGGGGGGGCTGGAGACTTCTATTGGATCATTCCAAGGTTGGGTTGGATCCATTGGAGAAGAGCCGACGACATCGACAACTTTGAGAGGAGGACTGGATCCAATATTGATTGATTGACTCCGTAGGCCCTTTACGTACCCTGCGTGGCTTGCGTATCTCAGACACTGGGACGAGTGTGCAATATCCAGTCATGTTACGCACCATTCCAGCATCAATCCACCAGGTTATTCTTTGTTGGACAGATACCGACTGTGTCTTGGATTCTAGTAAGTTTTTTTCTTCGTGATTTTATTTTTACTTTGGTTTTTCTCACCCAAATTGTTTGGCTGGTTTTTGTGTATGCATCCCTAGTAAGTGGCCAGGTGCACGTAACAAAGTCAACAAACAGATTAGATCTGCCGATGCTGCTTTCCCAGCATTGTCTTGCTTCGTCTCGCTTCATTCAAATGATTTTCCGGGGCTCATAGGCTCATCGTTTACCGTTTTGTTTCCCCTTTATTCTTCTGAGCAGTCCTTGCTTATTTTGGTCTACCGGCCGCCCGCCCATCTCTTGGAGTCTATCCCACTTTCTTTGGACGTGCTTCGATATTTCATATAAGTGTGAAACCACGCGGCCCCGTTTCTATCTCCCGCCCCAAGTTGCCCCAGTCTCCGCGACTGGACCCAATGTTTCCTGAGAGCGATAACTTTACTTGCAAGTTTCCAAGCCATCTATCCGCAGACTGGCACATGGGAAGGCAACGCTACCAAATGCTCCCAAACCTAGGTACCCGTTGCAAAAAGAACGTTGTACCTGCCGTTTCTAGCCTCGTCGTCGTATCGATCTGAATTGGATTGGAATAGAGGCTAATTTGTTTCTCCCCGATTCCCTCCCACCCCCTTCTCAATTTTACTCTCCGTCTCATCGTTGGGTACCTTAGTTTAGACACACATACTCGGTACTCATACTCGGTACTCTGTTCTCTCTATCAGCCAACTTCGCCTCGGTCATTCTTCGTACTTTGTCACACGAGCGGCTTACTTCCATCGTTTCATCCCTTCTTTTGCATGTAGCTCATTGGACCGTTCGGCGGCCGTGCTCATCATTCGAGTCTGCTCACCTACCACACTCTCACACACTCCACGCACCGCGTCGAGAGGAAATCCGATCATCAGAGAAGCAGAAAAAGTCTGAGGTTGTTGGTGCACAGTCAGCGGCGCTCCTGACTTGCTTGACATCTGCGCCTCGGCTGGGTCCTTTCCACATCCTTCGTTTGGTTCGAACCCACGAGCCTCTGACTTTTTTTCCTCTCTTGCCCGCGGTGGTGGTGTTCTCTTGTGACTATGTGCTGCCTTTCAGCTGCCTTCCCATCCATCAAACCAAAATTACAGTTCCTTAGTCCCGTCATTCTTGCCTTTCCCGTGTCAGACAAGACAAGACAGGAACGAACAGACTGAAAGTGGGCAGGTGCCTTCCTTCCCATTCCCTCGTCCCTTCCTCGATGGTTCCAAGGGCCCTCTAAACTCAACATCAAGAAAGGAAAGAGTTCCTTGTCTCACCTTCCACCTTTTCTTTCGTCTCTCTTGCCGTCCAAGGCCGTCCAAGGCAAAAACACCAAACACAAAAACACAAGATAAACGTAACCTTCCGTTATGGACACCAATAAACACAAGACCAGAGAGGAACAGAGATAACACGAGGCTTTTGAATGCACCTTCTCTACCTATTTACGGATCCTTTGTACTCTGCACACTGCACTCTGCACCTGCCTGGTCTTTTCCCATGGTGCATCCCTTCCCAAACCCGTCATAGCTGCCACACTTGAACCTTTTCCCACTCTTGCACAACCCTGAAACAGGCCCCCATCTACCCACACCACTGACGCTCTCTCCCAACTCTGCTCGCCTCGAAAGTCACGTCTTTCTCAACTTCTGAGGTCACAGCCGCCTGGCATCAACCCCACATTGGCACATCCTACGGATACCAACCCGTCCTGCTCCTCTTATTGCCAGACCGGGAACCTCGAATCGTTTATGCGCTGAGCTTTCCAACGTGTCGTTCCCATCTCAGCCCAGCCGGACCCTTTTCTTTTCCGTTTTGGCCCTGTTTACTCTCATTCTTTCACGGTTACCAATCTCTTTCTTTCCCTCTGCTGTTCCTGTACCCATTCTCCACATTCCCTCTTCCCAAGGGCCCACGCCTTTGCTACGTCGCGGAGGTATCCCAGGTCTTGGATCCCCTTTCCCCCCAAAGATCCTGCTTAAGCCCAGGTCCCATCAACAAGGTCAAGGTCAAGGTCAAGGTCACGGGCTCGTTGACGAGACGAGACAAGACACACGCCCAGCCGCATCCAGCAGCACCCAGCAACACCCACGCTTCCCAGCCAGCCTGAGCCAGCGGCGGTACCTCCTCCTCGGGAAACATCCTTTCTCACAGGCCCTGTCTGTTCTGTGTCTGCTCCCAATTACATTTACCTGCCCTTGCCGACCGTCACTCTCCTTTCGCCCCTCCCTTCTGCAGATCCAGATCGTCTGAATAACAAGGGCCTTCCGGATCAAAACCGCCTCGTTCCCTCTTCCGCCTCCCCCTTCCTCTCCTACTTGATTCCTTCTGGCCCTGTCCTGTTCAAGCCGTGCCTGCTTGATACTGTACCTCTTACCTGCCTGCCGCCTGGCCACCAGAGCCTCCCTTATACCCACCCAACCAACACCAAAATCCACCCGCTCGCCGGTTGCATTGCAGGACAATGAACGGATACGCTGCTTCAAAAGTGTCCCTCTCACACGAAGAGGGTATGGGACTCCTAGATGAGAAGACGTTGTCCGACGTCGAGAGCGAGAGCGGTAGGGCCGACCTCGAAGTCCGTTTTGCGATACCACGATGGTCGACTGTCGCCCGGGGTGTAGTTGGCTATACGCGGGCCATACCATGGAGGGTTACCGTCATCCGCGGCCTCATCTTCCTGCTACCTAGCTTCGTCCAGAGCCGATTCTCGAGAGAACGAGGCCGAACCGACAAGCTGTTTCCGACATCACATCTCGACGGCATGAGAGGCTTAGCAGCGCTTTTCGTCTTCTTCTGCCACTACTTTTACCAAGCCTTCATCATTGCCGAAGGCTGGGGCTCATCAGAAAAGAACTACCACATTCTCAAGATGCCCTTCTTCCGACTCTTCTACCAAGGTCCGCCAGCGGTCTGCCTGTTCTTTGTAATTTCCGGCTACGCTCTTTCCATGAAGCCGATCAAGCTCGCTAGGGCCGGAAACATGGAGGAATTCTCCGTGACGACGACGTCTTTGATTTTCCGCCGTTTCATCAGATTGTACATGCCGACTGCCATCTCGACCTTTTGCATCATGCTCCTGCTCCAGTTTGGAGTATACGAATGGACCAGAGACTTTGCCATTGATCGGGCTTTCCACAAGAACGTCATGGAGCCTCACCCAAAGCCGCTGGACACCTTTTCGGAGCAGTTTTACGACTGGGTCTGGAGCATGTTCAACTTTGTTCACGTGTTTGGCTGGGAGCGCTTTGGTGGTAGCACATGTAAGTGGTTTTGGAGAACAAAAGTATTGAGATTTGCTAATACCATTCTTAGCATATGATGTGCACCTGTGGACTATTCCGGTGGAGTTCCGCTGTTCCATGTACCTGTTCATCACCCTGATCGGCTTGGCTCGTGTACGGTCCGGACTCCGTTTCCTCTTCCTCTCGGGAATCATCGCCTTCACGTACCGAAACAACCGTTGGGAGCTGCTGTTGTTCTACTTTGGCATGATGCTTGCGGAATACGATCAGATCATGGGCAACAACACACCTGTGCCGCAGCCCTCGGTCCTTCCTTCGAATGGCGCCGCCGCTCCCCAGGGGAGCCGACTGAAGGGCTTCTTCTGGGCAATGCTCAGCATTCTAGCCATCTACTTTATGTGCCAGCCGGACATCAACTACGAAATCACTCCTGGTTGGGTCTGGCTCTGCACGTTCATTCCCAAGTGGTGGACGGAGGAAGGATACAGATTCTGGCAGTCTATCGGAGCTGTCATTTTCGTTCTTTGCGTGGGCCACTCTCCTAGATGGAAGAGCTTCTTCAACCTTGCTCCCATCCAGTATCTCGGCAAGATCAGCTACGCACTTTACCTCATGCACGGACCAGTCATGCACACCGTTGGCTACATGATTGAGAGACGTGCGTACGCCATCACCGGCCTCGAGGGCTGGTGGTACAATGCCGGATTTGTTCTGGGATCTTTCGGCTGCATTCCTGCGGTTATCTGGGCTGCCGATGTTTTCTGGCGCTTGTTTGACATCCCGACGGTGCGATTTGCGAAGTGGTTTGAGACAAAGTGTCTCGTCAAACAGGAATAGAGCAGATTGGGGGCAAATGCTTGCGCGTCACGGCCGATATTGCGTCTCGACAAAAACGCTCACACACACAATGAGCTGGGTCTCGAAAGTCGTTATGGAAATCGACTAATAATAGCATGACACGGCGTTTTATATCACACGGCATTATTACTTTATACCTGGCGTCGGGTTGATTTTTTTTATGGGGATGGGGGCTTTATCAAAGTTTTGGGGCAATTATAGATGGCATCGAGACAGAATGCACCTCTCAGGACCAACATGATGGACTGAACAAAGTACAGAATATGTACACGGTGGGAGACGGATGAAGACGTAGTGAATCAAGTAGAAACGGCCAAACACGCCGAAGTACTCCATGGGTATCAATTTGATTCGACTTTCTTTTCCATGCCGTCATGTGTCTCACATTTCTTTTGAATTTAATCTCCGCAAGCTTGTTGTTGTAGGTGCATGTGTTCGCCATCTCTTCGCAAGTAGATCGATGCGAAATATTTCCGAATAACGCCATACCCAGTCCCCCTAACTAACCAATCATGCTCCTCTTGCGGCCCCTCATCCTCACGTCCTCGAGCTTCTTGAGCGTCACGGGCGCCTGCTTGTACGAGTCGCGGTAGGCGTCGAGAACGTCCTGGAAGAAGGCCTCCGCGCGCGGGTGGGTGCTGCCGAAGGCGCGCTCGAGGACGTAGAGGTCGACGGCGCGGTCCTCGTCCGACGTGCTTTGGCTCGCGAGGCCAAAGTCGATGATGAAGACTTGGCCGTCGAGGGGGTCGTTGTTGTTCCCGTTTGCGTCTGACGATTTCGGGGGGCGGAGCATCATGTTTGACGTTGTCAGGTCGCCGTGGACGATGCCGATTTTGTGCATTTGGCCTATTGCTGTGCCCATTCTGCGCATGAGGTTTTTGATGCCTGTTGGGTCCTTTTTGGGTGCTGGCGGTGCTGATGTCGTCGCTTGTAACACCCCCGTTCCTCCTTCTGTTGTTTCCTCCCCTTCTTCCGGTATCGCTGCTGTTGTCCTCCTCTCCCCGAGCCACTCGTTGATCCGAACCCGCACCGGCGCACCGGGGATCCATTCCAGCATCAGCCAACCCGCCACCTCGTCGAGGGCGTAGAGCGCGGGGACGGGACAGCCCTCGCGGCGGCATTTGGCGAGGACGCGGGCTTCGGCGAGGATGCGGGAGCGGGTTAGGCGGGCGTCGAGGGTCGGGTGGCGGTAGGGTTTGGGCGGGCGGTATTTGAGGGCTGCCGGGCGGGAGGGGGAGAGGTGAGTTGTGTGGTAGAGGCGGGCTTCTGCGCCTTGGGTTATGAGGGTTGGCGGGGTTGAGGTCTGGTGGGTTAGGAGGGGGGGGAGGGGGAATGCGCCCGCGCCCTCGGGTTGTGGTATTGTTGTCATTGTGGGTGGTTTTGGCTGTGGTTTGGTGGTGAGGATTGTCGGGATGGCGGGCGGTTGTCCCAATTGTTTTTCGGCAGTTTGCTGTGTATCCTTTCGTCCTCTGATTCCCTTTCTTATTCTTGCATTGATTCGATGCGGGATTTGTATGGAGTCGCGCTTGTGCGTGTCGCGTGTCGTGGGTGGAAGGAGTGTCTGGGGTTGGTTTTTTTGTCGTTTGGGAATATCTTCAAAAATGAGAAAGTTGGGTCGGAGGGGGAGGAGGTGGGTGGAGGGGTAAATGGTAGATTCGTTTGGTGGGGGTTCGGTTCTCTGTGGCTTGACCGCCTGTAGCCTTGGGATTCTGCCGCCTGTGCTCTATTGCGGGGGGGGGGGGTTTCGGGCGCTAGCGTTAGCGGGCGTGTATGGTTGAGGCCCGCCGCGCCGGGCGAGCTTCTTTCTGCGCTTGGGGCCGTCCATCCGTCGTCGTCGGGACGGGGAGAGTGGTCTTTAAGGATGGACGGGCCGGGCCTGAGGTGCTCCGCTTAATATTTCCAGTTTGTTGCTTCTCTCAAGCTTCAAGCTTGCAATAGTGGAGCTCCTTGCTGTTGAGTTGTCATCTTTTCTCCATCTCTCTCTTTTCCTCTCTCTCTCATTCTTGGTGTAGGTGCTGGTGAAACCCAGTCGCATCCGTATCAATTCATCTCCAATTCTTTGCACCGTACCGCCCTAGATTCTCCTTCTCGTCTAAATTCATAACCATTAGACAATCCCTCTGTCGGTCTCCTCATAACCACATTCTCATACGTCTTTTGACTGACCTACGAGCAGAGGCGCGAGTCCGAAAGTTACGCCAGCGGATGGGGTTCACAAGTATGACAATCCTCCAATCCCGTGTTCTATCCCGACCTTCGACCAAGGTGCCCAGATATCGCGCTCCAAAGGGTAGTTACCCACACCGGCCAGAGTCCCATCTTTGCATAGGTGGTCTCGGAGGAACGAGCCACCAAGTTCAGTAGGTATGTTCTGCGTCGCCACGAGGGAGAGGGTTTGGGGTGGTGGTCTCCCGATATGCAGCCCAGCGGCACAGCAAAGGGAAACGAACCAACGAAGATGGGATAATCAGAGCAGGCCACCAATCATTTCCATCACGGATTGCAGGGAATCCTTCTCGGCGCGCGACCGAGAGGGGCAAGTGAGTAGGGTTCGGCGCTGCGCTTCTGCACTTTCGAATCGAGTTCCGAACAAGGTATTCGTGAGGCAAGACCGAGTGGTTTCGTTTCGCGCCTTTGACTACAAGCTGGTGGTCAATCTAATTGGGATCTTCTCTTCTTCAATGTTTTTCTAATCCTGAAATCAGGTCGCGCAAGTGCAGGACGGAAGAGGTAGGGAGCACAAGGGGATCCGAGGAACTTTGGGCAACCCGAGGGGACGGGGTTTTCTGCTTACATGCTCCTCTATTTCCCATGATGAATGTATGCTACTTTACCCTGCATCTAGGCGCATGTTGCAGCAGGAAGCAGCAGCAGCAGCCTTTTCTGTGCGCTGCCATCTTACCTACATTAATCACTGTCATCCTTTCCCCCTCCACTCTTCAAGGTGCTTGCTTACCATTGTTTCTGTACCCCTTGCTCTTACTTCTTGGTCTTTTCCCTTTCAGCCGCGGTTTGCCTCGCTGTTGTTACACACACCATCCCCCCCTCCTCCGAGGCTTCCACCACCACCAACATCACCACTAACGGGCAGAGGCTGGAAAACATCTCATCTTTACCCTCTTCGAAGGACTCGTGGATTGAGAGCAATGTGTTCTTAATTGAAATCGGCATTGTAATCGGCGTTGCTCGACTTTGTCCCGATCAAAGTTGCCGTTCTTGGGGGGTGGGATAGCAGCAGACAAGATGAAGCTCCTCGCGACCCTCACGCTGGCCGCTGCTGCCGCCGCGGCCACCGGCACGAATGCGGCCTTCAGACAGAGATACGCCGCGGTCGACATGTCGCCAGCCGTCGAGGGCGCCGGCCTCGTCCCGCGCTTCTTCATCGACGCACCGCGGCTCGCTGTCCGCGACGGCGGTATATGTAACCCGAACTTCCATTCCTGTAAGTACGAACCTCCTTCAAGTGTTTTCATTATCCTCACTCGACGTCTCCCCTCGACTTTGGATTCACCTTATATCACCCCCAAAGAGTGTCTACATACTAGAAACATGAGGAAGAAGGACGGAATAGTCTCACTCATCAACAAGAACATCAAACTGAAAACACCCAAACAGGCGTCGACATAGGCCACCCAGAAACCTGCTGCGCAAACACAAACTACTGCTACGTGAAACCCGACAACTCACCATGGTGCTGCCCCCTCGGCTCCCTCTGCGACTCAAACTGCCCCGCGACAGCCTACCAATGCCCAACAACAATAACCGTAACCGCCACCGTCTCGCGGACCACGAACGCCGCCTCCGCCTCCGCCTCCGTCGTCCTCACAACCTCCCTCTCGACATCCTCAGCCTGCTGCGGCCGCACCTGTCCCTCCCCCTCCGCCTTCCGCTGCGAATCCCAATTCGGCGGCGGCTGCTGCTCCTACGGCCAGACCTGCGTCTCCGGCGGCCGCTGCATAAGCACGGTCTCGGCATCTACGTCGGCTACTACCACGGGGGGACTGAAGCCCGCCGATCCGGCGTGTACGGCCACCACGCAGCACGCGTGCGAAGACACGGCGGCGGGGTGCTGCGATAATCTCATGCACTGCACCGTCGTCAGCGGGACGGCCGGGTGCGCGGCGGGGAACCCGACGGCGACGGGGGACGTGGGGTATACCACCGTCCCCGAGAGCGGTAGCGGAGGGTTGTCGACGGGAGCGAAGGCGGGTATCGGGGTCGGTGTTGCTGTGGTCGGGTGTGCTCTCGCCGGCGCGCTCGCGTGGTTTTGTTTCGTGAGGAGACGGCGGAGGGGGACTGTAACGGGGACGGCGACGATGTCTGAGCGCAGCGGCGGCGGGCGCAGCAGAGGAACGGGAACGGGAGCAGGAAGAGGAGGAGTTTCTGGCGTCGGGAGCGAGAGGCCCAGTCGCGGGGTGCGGGCTTTATCGGACGTCACGTCCGGGTCTCGACCGAACGGGCCCAGTCGCGGCGCGACGCAGGATTACTTTGGTCCGGATGCCGTTGCGGGGCCGTATACCGAGACAGACGAGACCGGACTATCTCCGGGCAATGGTTCGGGAGCCGGGACCGGAGGCGGAGGGGGAAGGGCGGGGACGCCAGGTCGAGGACGGGGCGTGCCGCTCCAAGCGCATTCGCCCAACGACGTTGTCGCACCCGTGGAGATTGGGGACTCCGGGGGTGAGAAGAGAGGCTACGGGTACGGTTACGGTCACGGGTACGGCCACAGCGTGACTTCCGTGCCGGAGGAAGGGCGCGAAGGGGGCCCGCGGGAGATGCAGACGCCCGGGTCCGAGGAGGAGACGACGCAGGGGCGGTACGAGTTGTACGGGTCCGAGATGGCGTCGCCCGTGTCTGTCGGAGCGCCGCCCTCGTCGATTGTGCCGACGCCGTCGATGATGACGCCGAGGAGCATCGCGAGCGTGAGCATGTTTGACCGGTCACCAGGTCCCGCTCCCTCCGATAGGGAGAGGGAGAGATAGGGAGGACTTGGGAGCAGCAGACGGAGTTCAAAGTAAGGTGTTTTCTAATTTCGTCTCCAGTCTTTCTGAGACGACCCCCGTGGATTGGAGTATAAACGATAATCGACGATAATGATACACAGCCTGATAAACGATCAAAAAGACATGCGCGCGTTTCTTTCTCCTCTTCCTGATGCTTCTACGATACTCAAGGGGACGCAACTTGACAATACGTATTATGCGATTCTGATAGAGGGAAACTTTTGGAATGAGCAACTTCCCTTCCTTGGCCACAAACGAGAAAAAAATGGGTAAAGAAAACTCCTCGCCTACGTTTCCATGAATGACGACGCCCAAAATGTGTGAAAACCTCTGTAATCGTACCGTCCACGAGAACGCCAAACAAGATGAACCATGCAATCGACAGAGACACCAGAGCTCGCGAACAAGAGTACAACTCCTTAGAATGATGAGTACCCGAAAAACACCAAATGCCGGCCCGAGATGAGCAATTTTGCTCGTCGAGACAAGCTAGCACACGACACCACCAAAGGGCGTGCACGTCCGCAGGTCCCTGACGAGATCCTCGACATTGCTCAGGTGGCGGCCCAGCAGCTCCTGCTTCTCCTCGGTCGTCATGGTGTCGGCGGATTCGCTACCGGCGCGGCTCCGGCCGTGGCCTGAGTCGGTGGAGGCGGGCGTGGAGGCCGCGCTGCCAAAGGCGCCGGCGAGCTTGCTCGGGCTGCGCTGGTGGATGGCCGGTACAGAAGCGCGGACGTCGGCGCGGGGGATGGAGGGGACCTCGGGCATGAGGTAAAAGTAGAGGAACTCGACGAGCTTGAGCTTGACCTCGCGGGCGGTAGAGCGGGATTTGAAGAGGGAGGTGACGGTGAGGAGGCCATCGAGGGCCTCAAAGGTTCGTGTGTTTGTCGGGGTGTCAATGAGGGCGGTGACGAGGGTGAGCAGGGTGGCGGACTGAATCGCGGGACAGTTTACGGGCTCGAGGAGGTCGAGGAGGAGCTGTTGCGAGATTGAAATTAGTGCTCTGCTTTGGACAATGACGGTGGGAGAGTCAAAGACAACATACGTTCATGTTCTGCTCTCGTGAGAAGAGGGCTTTGCTGGGCGGGTGCAGCAATAAGACACCCTGGATCAAGTCCAGCGAGCTGAGGATGAGGAGGTCATTCTGTCCATCGGTGCCCTTGCCCATCAGGCGGTCGAGAGTGTTGATGAGGCGAAGTGCAACGTTCCACTCGAATCCTTCTTGCAGCTTGAAGAACTCGCGAAAGGCCGGGTCATCTGACAAGTCTGCCAGAGACTTTCCACTGCTGTGGGACGCATCGTCGTCCGTTGTGGATGACCTCGATTTGGCCGGTGCTGAGAGGCAGATTTGGGCGAGGAGACCCTCGACTTGGCGCAGACCCTTGCGGATCTTGGGACCGTCGTAGGAAGAGAGGCCGTCGAAGGCGAGGCTGAGGAGGTTCTCCATTGCGTCTAGTGTTGTGAATGAGCTCTTGTGGTAGGCGGTGGCTTTGTGGCTTGATTGGGGGATGTGGGTATCGGGCGTAATTTGGTAAAGACAAAAGAGACGATGCGATGCGATTCTCGGTGATGCGACTTGTGGATGGTTTGGTGACTATGAAATGCTGTTGTGTCGGATGGAAGGATAGAGACAGAGGTCGAGTCTGGAAAGCAGCAGCCGCAGCACCGTTGGATATTGTTAATACAGAAAAAGAGAAGAAGAAAGGCTGGCGAGGACAAGTCCTCTAGGGATCTGGAGAAGGGCGGCGTATGTCAATTGCGCGACAATCGTATGAAGGGAGGTGGAAAAGGCAAAAAATAAAAAGATGTTCAATGGCGAGGGCGCATGCGCAGGTGGTCATTCATGAGAGCGACTACCCGGTAGCGTCTACTGTGTAGATTACAACATACGGTGGAAAGCGACGATGTTGGTGGACAATGCGGGTTGTTTGTGTTGCGTTGGACGATTACTGCCCCGGCAACCGGGTCGATCCAGCACGTTGGGATGGGGATGTAGCGCTGCCGAAAGGGGAAATTCTGTGTCTGATTGGTCAGGTTCGTGACCGTTTCTTAGCTAAGCGGGTCATGTAGGGGAGTCCATCAGGGACATCAGGGAGCCATTGGGCTGCGTTTGGCGCATTTTTTTTTTTTTGGCTCTTTGGGTGGCATTGTGGGGGGCACGGGCCGGCAAACTAAGCATCTTGGGCTTTCCCTTCTTGCATGAGCTCCCTTTTCTTTCCCTGATCCTCCATGCATGGGAACTCGGAGAACGAGCAGGCTTCAAGGCTGTGGAAGTTCAGAGATACATGGTAGTATGGAAAATAAGCGAGGCTTTGACATCGACCCTGATCTGTGACCCCGAAGTGCGGTGTGCCGTGTGCCTTGGCTACTGCAGAGAGGCGGCGTTGAATGGCACAAGTTTACGGTAAACCTCTCTGCCGGCCCTGTCACAGCCGCTGCGGGTGCTTAAGACCGGCACTTAACGCTGATGAAACCTGAAGACGCGAGGGGATGTCACATCCAAGTGTCTAGAGTTGCTCCGACTCGGAGCGAGCTGCCTCTCTGCTGCTGCCCTACTGCCATCACTTCTTCTTAAGCCGGTCTATCACACGGCAACAACCTAGGCCTCACGAGTCACAGTAGCTAGTCTGGCAGGATGAAGCACATGGTCAAGGGGTGACAGAGTGACGGGCGACAAGCACGCAGATCAGGAGGATTCCGGGTGACACCCGAGCACTTAGTGTCTACGCAGTACTTACTATGTATCCGTCCTCCGTGATATGTTAGTGGCTCGCTCTCGTCCTCTTCTAGAAGCCCGTTTCCCCAATACTCCCTAGGAAAAGGTAGCTCCACGTTGGCTCGAGGTGGGTGGTGTCCGTGTCTCCTCCGTGCTCCGGCCGATTCTTAAGACGGAGACTTCGCACGAACCTCTCTCTTTTCGAGCACCCACCCGGTTTGCTCTTCTTCCTTTTCCTTCTCCGCTCCATTTTCATCCGTTCGACATCAATCAGGCGGGAGAGCAACGGCCAGACGAATCATCACTCAGGTACACCGAGATATCCGGTCCCTTGTCTTCATTCTGCTGTTCCTCCCACCGCTTATTCTCCGGCCACCCACCCGGATCAAAGTCCGCGGCCGCCCTTCTGGAGCTCGGCATCGACGGAATCCCGACCTCCCAAGAACAGCCGCGAATTTGGATGACGTCTTCCTTCCTTCGGCCTCAACATAAGCCCGATTGCCTTCCGCCTTATCTCCCCACCATCAATCGATAAGAGCTCCAGCAAACGATCTGAGCTCTGCCCTGGGCAATTGAGGCTCCATCAACGCCTGCCACAGCTGCCATCACTCCTTCTGGTTTTGTTGCTGCATGTTCAAGGTGCGCAAACTGCTTTCCATTGACATGTGATTGTCCATCTCCAACTTCACTCCGCCTTGTTGCTTTCTCCCATACTTTCTTCTCCTTGATTGTCTACTGCAGGTCTGTCTAGGACTTTTCAGGTACCCGCCACAACCATCCATCTTCGTTCCCACCAAGGACCTTCTAAGCAAGGTTCAGTGACCTAGCTTGGCCTTTCATCCTCTTTGCTATTCCGGTTTACACACCATCCTTGCCTACACCTATTCCCTTGCAGCCATGGGTGGAGAAAAGGTCCTATTTACAGAAAAGTCATGACGGTCTACATCTCGTTTTGTTCCCCGCCAAAAAGACAGCACATGCACATAGTCTACGGACCAATACAGACACAGACAGAAGAGCACTCGCATATGCAGCAATCAACTGCCTGCCGCAATGCCGCTCCTATCCAATCCACTACCACACCATCTCACAACCTACCTTACCTCACAGAGTTATGCCTCACCCCCAGGCAGAATCTCACCTTGGCTGAGCAAGTGGTGACGTTTACACGGGCTTACAGCAACGGCGCCAGCTGACCGATTCTACCGCAACCCACCAGCCAGAGCTCCACAACACCGCATCCCCAGCCCACGCGAGCTCTGTTGAGCTTGAGCCAACACCTGGAGCTCCCGCAGCTGTAGCTTCTGCAGCTGGTGCTGGTGGTGAGACCTTAACCGGGTCCTCCCTACCAGACGTCCATAAGAAGCCACGCTTCTTCCCCTGGCCGCCGGTCCCTTGGAGAAGACTCCCTTTCGCGATGGTGCCTAATAACCCGTCGGCGACCTCGTCGTCCTCTCCTCCTTCAAACAAAGCAGCCGACAAATCTTCAAACCCTACGAATACAAATACCGCCAACAACCCCTCTTCATCGTTCCCCCATTCCCCGCCAAACGTTATCCCCTCGCGCAAATCCTCCATCGGCCACCACTCCGCAGCCGCCGCCGCCGCTGCTCCCGTCTCCCTCTCCGCCCACGCGGCCGCGCCCATGCCCGCGACCTCCAAAGGGCCCCTCCGTACCGTTCCCGAGACCGACTGGCTCTCCCGCGCCAACTACCACACCAATACCAACAACGGTCACGGCCAAACCCACGCCCACAAGCACTCGCTCTCGCACTCTTCTCACCGGTCTCGCCGCCCTTCCCTGGGGACCAACCAAGCCACCTCCTTCACCCTCACGATGCAGCCTCCCCCGCCCCCGGACCCCTCGCGCTACGCGACCTCTGACCTCAACTTCACCCGCAAGACCTGGCCCGAGGAGAAGGACAAGGTCATCACCGGCCCTTTTGACTACCTTTTCGCCCACCCGGGCAAGGACTTCCGCGCCCAGCTCATCCAGGCTTTCAACGTCTGGCTCGAGGTGCCCCAGGCCAGCATCGATGTCATTACAAACGTCGTTGGTATGCTGCACACAGCCTCCCTCCTCATCGACGACGTGGAAGATTCGTCCTCCCTCCGCCGTGGCCTCCCCGTCGCCCACAACATCTTTGGCGTAGCCCAGACCATCAACTCGGCAAACTACATTTACTTCTGCGCCCTCCAGGAGCTCCAGCGCCTCAAGAACCCAAAGACAATCTCCATCTTTGCCGAAGAGCTCGTCCACCTCCACCGCGGCCAGGGCATGGACCTCTTCTGGCGCGACACCCTCACCTGCCCGACGGAGGAGGACTACCTCGAAATGGTCGGCAACAAGACGGGCGGCCTCTTCCGCCTGGGCATCAAGCTCATGCAGGCTGAGTCCCGCAGCCTGACAGACTGCTCCGAGCTCGTCAATCTCATGGGCCTCATCTTCCAGATCCGCGACGACTACATGAACCTCTCGTCCAAGGAGTACTCGGACAATAAAGGCATGTGCGAGGACCTGACCGAGGGCAAGTTCAGCTTCCCCATCATCCACAGCATCCGCTCCGACCCGTCAAACCTGCAGCTCATCAACATCCTCGGGCAGAAGACAAACGACGTCGAGGTCAAGCGCTTTGCCGTCGCGCGCATGGAGAGCACGGGGAGCTTCGAGTATACCAAGCAGGTCGTCGGCGTGCTCATTGACCGCGCGCGCAAGATTGCGGATGATATCGACGAGGGCCGCGGGCTGACAAAGGGCGTGCACAAGATTCTCGACAAGATGGTCCTCGCCGATAAGAATACGACTTCATGATTTGATGACGGATGGCTTTTGGTTTTTTTTTTTCTGTTTTTCTCTGGAGGCGGGAGACTGCTTCCCAAAAAACATGATGGGATGGAGAATTTCATGTCAGGGACACTTGGATGGATGGGACGAGGTCAGGCAGTTGGACGGATGGAAATACCTAATCCGAAAGATGGAACGATGGGGACATTTCTTCTAGCTTGTGCTATGGTGTTGGTTGGGGTTTTTCTTACCGGCTGGCATGCCGGATAGGGCTGCATTTAGACTTGGTCTGAGAGACGGCAGACGGGAGAGTATTCAACGTGGCAGTGAACATCCAACAACTATTCACACATGAATATGTCCGTCGAAGGTGACCGCCTGGGGTGGCAAGAGATACTCGTAGGATAACTTCACCATGATGATGACTTCGGAACTCCAAAGCGTCTTGACAGATGCCATGATAGGGGTCTTCAGCACTCCAGGTACATTCAACCACCTTAGCGACACATTCTCATGTCTAAGTAAGGCCTCGTGTCAACAGTGAGGTTGAAGGGTCACGCTGGAAATGACTCCCATTAGTTTTCATGTCATTATCATTAACATACTATACAGATCCCTTCATCTGACCCCCCTCAAGCAGTACTCATCGTAGCCCGCCTCTTGACAAGCCTAACCCACCTCCGCCGCCTCCACTCCCCCCTCTTTCCCGTCCCGTCCTCCCCTTCCTCCCATCCCGACAGCGGCGCGCTAGGAACTCTCGCCTTCCCTTTTCCCATCGTTGTCGGCGACGAGTCCACCGGGCCCCCGAAGCCGCCACCAGCAGCACTATTCTCATCAAACATGTCATAAACCCACCTCTCCCCCTCCGTCTCGACCTCGACGCCCGTGATGATGCGCTCCTCTACCCACTCCCTGCTCCACAGATCCAGCGCCCACTTCTTCTCGGACCAAACCCACCCGTCGGGCGGTAGCACGTCCTCGAAGAAGCGCGTGCCGCGGGGCCGATCGCCGGCGATGCGGGGCTGGGAGAGCGGGTCGTAGGGGGAGGGGGAGAAGAGCCAGGGCTCCCACTCGTCGTGGGACGCGCGCTGGAGCTCGAAAATCTCGACCTCGCGCGTCTCGGGCGCCGAGTCGAGGATGATGTCGCCCGCGATCCAGGCGTCGACGCTGGAGCGGGCTTGGGCCTCGTGAGGCGCGACGTGGGTGTCGTGGGTGTGCGTCAGGAGAGGGGCGATGGCCGGGTGGCCTGAGAGGATGGCGGCCCAGCCTGCGAGGAGGGCGATGAGGCGCCAGGGGAGGAGGGAGGCGAAGGTGGTCATGAGGACCGTGGTGAGGGTGAGGGCGAGGAAGAGGGCCGAGGAGAGGGCCTCGTTGGAGAAGTTTGTGATGGGGAGGACGGTGGCGACGACGCCGTCGTGGGCGACGCAGAAGTCGTCCATTGAGTTTTGGAGGTCGCGCATGTTACGAAAGAAGTCCTTGCTGAGCTCCTTGACGGGCTTCACCGTCCGGGCCGGGGCGAGGGGCGGACCTTTTGGGGAGTAGCCGACGGATTGCTCTGAGGATAGGGTGCCGGAGGGCGGAGCCGGGTGGCGGGCGAGGAAGGAAGGGATGAAGACAGCGAGGAGGAAGCCGGCGAGGGGCACGACGGTTAAGAGGTACGGGTCCAGACAGACAAATGTGTAGACGGCGAGGAGGGATAGGGTGTGTGTTGGGCGGCGCCAGCTGAGGAGGCGGACGACGCGGGCCTGGAACTTGAAGACGACGCCGATGCGGGCGTTGAAGCGGCGAAAATTGTTGGACATTGTAGTGATGTTGAAGTTGGGCCGCTCGGAAAAGGTGCTCGTCTTGTCCGGGGAGAAGCCCGGGGCGAGGGGGTCGTCGCCGCCGCTTGTGAGGCCATCAGAGCTCTCGGGAATGACCTGTTGAAGGAGCCTGGGTGAAGCGGTTCAGTTAGCATCAAGTTCTTTCTGAAGGAGATAGAGTTGTGGCTTTGAGAAAGTAGGCTTCACCTCTCGACTAGACGATCTTGGATACTCGTCTTTTTGCTGAGGTTATTCGCGATGCGCGAGCGCAGGCCGGAGGGGGACTTCTTGGACGGGGTGCCCTCGCTGATGTCGGAATCGTGAGGCCACTCGTCGACCACTACAGTCGGAGGCGGCTGCGAATGGGGCTGATGATCCGAGGCATCGTCGCGAGATATGAAGAGGTCGGCCGTATACTCGTCCATGGTCTGTACCTTCTGCGCCGGGTGTGTGGTGGTAGTTGTGGCAGAGGATGCGCCGGCGGTTGTTTCGTTTGATGGTGGATCGGTGGTCGTTGAAGGGAGGTCACGTCATCGTTTGGCGGACAGCCGCCTGGCAGTGTGGGTGCGCGTGCGGTTCGCTGTAAAAGTAAGGGGATGATGAGACGGATGGTAACGCGATCTGTGTTTGTCTTCTGTGCAGATAGCTCAGATGCGCTTGAGCTAAGTTTGTCTAGAATTTCCGGAAGCTGTGTAGCTGTGTGAGACGTTGAGGTTACGATGTGGATTGGTGCATGGGGAATGTCATTGGAGCTGCCCGGCTGGACCGGCGGAAGCTCCCCTCAAGCTGCAAGCCTCCACTGCATGTGATTTGGGCCGCAGCATGGGGAACTGGGTCCGATGCCAGCAGACCGCAGACTGCAGAGCCCGTAGCAGCCGAATTGCAGTGGTTGGACATCACATGCTCCAGTAAGCTTCTGCCACACGGCAAATGTCATCCATGGCCCCCATCCCTTCCCTACCACTACCCTGTACCAGAACGCACATTGGAAATGGCCTCGTCTTGCAGGAATGGAAAACCCACTGGAGCTTGCCCACATTGTCTACGATCCAGCGGCAATGAGCTAAGTTGTTGGTGTGCGTCTCTGCCCGTACGACCACGAATTCCCGCATCCGTTCCTCCAAACCCTGCTGGCTGATTGTCCAAAAGGAAGACCCAAGAGCCAGAGAACTCGATATCCGTTAGCTGTGGCTGACCAATAAGAAGTCGGAATATCCAAGAGATCTGGATAGACGGCGAGGAAGTTGTCCGAGGTAGGTAGAATGTTGGATCGGCCCATTCATAGAGAGATATTGTTTCTGTGCCGTCTGCCTACGCAACAGAAAGAAAATAGCCACTGAGTACCTAGGCACACGATGGCGATGGATGAGTCTAACTTCGAGTCCTTCTGGCCGGCTGTTTCAGCTCTTGAAGCCAGGAAGTAACTCTCCCGTTAATAGAGGCTGCCAGTTATGCAAGCCTCCTCGTGCGAAACTTTGGCTGTTCTCAATGTCAACTGATCTGACATTTAGTCAACTCAATAACGTCCCCTGACGTTGGATGAAATATCTGAATCAGTAACTTGGGACTGAAGGCGAAGAATTACCGACCAAGAACGAGCCTCCAGAAACGGGAATATGGGAGATTGCACCATGATCTTGGCCGTCTGCGTTGGTCAGTGCTTCTCGAATCATCAGCCCATGCGTGTATTTGCAGCTGTAAAGGAGAGGACGAAAGGCTGAGTGGTGGACGCCGCTCGGATGCCCGAAGAACGGAAAACGGGACGGACGGAATTGGGCAGACCGACGCCAGAGTCACCAGAGAGAAAAGGAGGCATGCATCCCTTGATCAGCTCGGTCCCTGTCTTGTTTCTGCCATCGCATGCCAGTCCAAGTTATTCAGGGCAAGGTTGACCTGCCCTGTGGCAAGCTTGAGCTCTAAGACTATCGGCGGCGCGGTGACAAGCGTACCGTACTCTGCTCGTCTGCCCGTAGTAACCGTACTTCTGTACACGCTATCTTCGTACACGAGGGGCGGGATGATTGATCCTTAACTGTTGGGCGTTAGGCGCAAAAGCTGGGGACTCGACACAGCCCAGGCTCGGGGCTGAAATGGAGCCAGAGGTCAGTGTTTCTTTTGACTTGGAGGCAGCGCCTTGGGTAGATCAATGATCGGGTAGCGAGTCGTAATAAGAGCTGGAGAGCTTATCAAGACTCAGGAGTTCTTGCCGAGAGCTTCAAATGTAATCTTGAAAAGCCACTTTCAGGCTTCAATAATGGACATCGACCTAGCGGGCTGCTTCGAGGCTTGATAATGCTCCGTTGACGGTTCGCCAACTCGATCGAACCTTATTCTATAGCTCAGGTGAGGCGATGCACTTATGAGTTGGGTTTGGATCGCCGATTGGTTCTGCTCGCTCTTGTCACCAAACCTCCCAAAGTCCACATGAGATGACTTGTTGCTGATGGAATCTCCAAAGACGAATTGGTTTGTGACTGTCAGTGCGCTGTAGATCCCAAATTTGATGGCTCGCATTACAGACGGAGGCAGTTCGAAACAGAGATCTACTAGGCCCCGGTTCTGCGAGACGATGAGGCAGGCGGTGTGGTTCAGGACTATAGCAGCACCTCGTTAAGAAAACAAACGCAGAGGCCCGGAGATGGTGTTCGGTGATTGGTCGTTGGCCTGGGCAAAACAATATCCCACGAAATGATGGTCTGCATCAGGAACCAAGGCGATGCGGTTTTGTGTTGATGTGTCATGTCCCTTCATATGAGTGTCCAGAAATTCCTCTGGCTAACCAATAGTCGGCCGCAACCGAAGTTGCTCTGACAGCTTTGATCTGCAAGCGAAAAGAGTACTGCGTATATATGAAGAGCCTGTCAGACATTTGCTCAGTAGTCGACCAGCTAAAGTTGCATGGAGCAATTTTTGAACATCGCGTTCAAGGTCCACAGAACGCACGGCGAATGTTTCGGTTGTCAGTGTCCTCTATTGGGCTGCTAGGTCGGCCAACTGTTGCGAATGACAAGTGACAGGTATTCGTACCGTTGGTTGCAAAAGCAAATTATCAATCCATCCCGTAAGACAAGTCACCGCCCGGGGCCGAACGAAGAGCCAATCCTTAGAAGCTAGGGTTTGCCATTGCCAGCCTGTGACGGTGACCCGCCCAATGCTATAAGTCCACGTTGGCTACTCCATACCAAAGGGTATACAGGTAGAACAGGTGTCTAAAAGGAAGGCATTTGAATATTGCGAGAAGCACTGCTGACTCCCGTCGACGTTGGCATTGGGCTCGTCAATGGTCGTCCTAGGAGACGAGGGATGAACTTCCTGCGATCCTCGGCACAGGACCACAACGGACAAATTACGTGACGGGCGTCTTGTCGGGAAACGGTTTGGTTGGCTGTGGTTGAATACCGACCGGTGTTCCTCCAAGAACGGGCGGCGGAGAGGAGGATTGCAGATTGCAGATTGCATATGGCGGGACCCCCATGCATTCGGAATCCTGGCTAGCAGGCCGTTTTGCCACAGAACCCCCAAATTCCACTGGACAGATGGGCATCTTGCTTTTGGGCGTTGAGACACCTGACCCTCACCCGTCACCCCCATGCCACTTTTCCCCCCAGGGTCTTCCTCTTGGTTGATGCGGCGACGAGGACAACAAACGGCCCGCGGTGACGCAGGGACGCATCTTAGGAGCTCCGAACTGCTGCTGGACCGTGATGGCGGGCGCGGCAGTGTCCCAATTGGCCCTAATCGGAAACAAGAGACGCGTCGAAATAGCAGCGAGCTTGGCAAACGCGGGAAGCTCTTTTCGACAGTTGGATGCCCCTCAATTTGGGACGAGTCGCGGCAAAGTTTGGAACGAATTACGGAGTAAAGACAGAGAGCGACGAGAAGATGGGATGCAGCAACGCGAAAGTCGCTGACTGAGAGACGACGCCTGCGAAGCATACTACGTACACGCGTGCGACGGCTGCAACAACCCGAAACTTGATCTGGGTCGCTGGGACCTGGGCGAGTCGTGCTTATTCGGTTGTATGGGAAGAGTACTCCGTATGAATAGAGTTGATGTCAACCTCGCCGTGCTAGCCAAGCTCCCCATACGTGCGAGGCGTTGACATTAGATGCTAGATGATGTTGGCAGCCGACGCCTTGTGCCTATCGGAGAGGTCATGTAGACCGGTATATCTGTCTTTAGTCTACTCCGTAGATGCAAAGTAAGCACGGATGGTAGGTATTTGTATCAATCAGTGCCTGGATATTTGGCTGCTCGTAATGGTGGACAGCAGAATCTTGGGTAAATGAGAGAATCCGCTGCCGCAGATCGCGCTTCAACGGCCAGGGTCCGAGTTTCTCTGGAACCTTCGTAGAGATAGCGGGAAGAGATGTGTATTCGTACGGGGTATTCAGACTTAGGGCAAGCCACAAACTTGGGTCGGTCGGTTGGTGGACGGAAATGGTGCCGAGTTGCTAAATTGCTTGATAGAGTATTCAGTATTGGCATCCACAAGGTATTCCGTATGATCTGGAGACTGCAGAGAATGAAATGCGATGGATTCGAGGTATCTGCACTCTGTAGTCCGTACAAAAGAAGGTATCCGCTTGGTTCATGAGATTTGGCCCATTTTGTCTTTGTCGAGGTTATTTAGCGGCCATTTGTCCAAGGGGCTCAAGGAAGAGGGGAATTGGGGAATAGAAGGGGGTCCAAAGCACGCTATTAGACTTGACGGGTTCCATCATTTGATCACACCGACCTGGTGGTTTTTTGAGAGTTCCTTCCCTGGGAATGCGGTGTGAGGTACGAACCGCCCCGCAGCCATGGGTACCTGCGAAGTAAGGCAGATACTACGGAGTACCCTAAGTATCTTGCTCTTGCCTCTTGAATAGATATTGAGTGGTGATAACATTAATAGAAGGAGAGAGACACTTCTCCCGCAGTACGCTCTTTCCTGCCTAACCTCAAGATACAAATCATCTGTACCTCTTGATGGCAAAATCTAAGGCAAGGTACTGATTGATACATACGTCTAATGAGCAACTGGCGCAATTCGTGCAATCAGCAGGTGATCCCTGTCGGAGCGGTCCCCCGACCTCCCTTTCTCTCGCTCTTGCCAAAATGTGAGTGAGGGGCCGGCGGGCACTGCACCGACCACCACCCTTTTTTTTTCTTCCTCGCTCGCATTCATGGTCCAGGGACTCCATCATCACCCGCCGCCGCATTTTTGTTTTTCTCCCCCCCCATTTCGATTCAGATGGATGTTTCCCCCCCGTCATTTGCCCAAGGTTGGCCGCTAGAACGGTCCTGCGGAAATGTGCTGCAGCTGCACGGAGTAGCGCATGCAAAGTGGTGTGTGTTCCTGAACCGCACATGGTACCTTACCTTACCTTACGGATAAACTCTCTCGACTCCCCTCAATCAACTGGACATTGGTGCTCACTTAGTCTACCAACATTGGTCCCGTTTCCCGCACTACTACTGCATCGGCCTGCCTTAGATGTTAGCAAGCCCCCTCAGGTCAGTCGCGAGGTGCATGACAGATCCTCCCCTCAGAGAATGGCCGGGAGTTGCGTACCTAATTGACAACCTGACGGGACTGGGTGACGGAACGTATCGGGTGGTTAATGATTACTACCTACTACTAGTACTCTGTACCTACGAATAGCATTCCATGTTTGTTTGTATGTGCCTGCCTGACCTCGCCTTGGGCATCTTGTGCCTTTGCGCCATAAGCTAAGGTACTGATACCTTAACAATAAACTAAAGGGACGGGACTCTGTGAGTGACCTCGCACTCCAGACCTAGGTACCTACTCCAGAGTTCCCCCCCGTTCGGGCTAACCTCAGGTAACCAGGAAGTACCTTACTGCTCTCTCTTTCTCACTCTTGTGCTGCCGTCTATCTCAAATGACAATCCACTTCTCTGCCCGTCTTTCCTCCACACTGATGTACCGCTTCTCATTCGCATCTTCGTACCACTTTGACGGGGGGTTCAAGAAACAACGAGGAAGAGCAAAAAAAGAAGACAAAAATTCTTAGAGGCTCCAGTGCTCTCTTCTCTAGTGCTCGTTCCTGGCTCCATCCCCCATCCACACTGCACGCTCCACCACCTACCTTACCCTGGTCGTAACCTGCCCGCCCGCCTACCACCAGTCCACTGTCCACCACACTGACAACTTAAGCGGCGGGTCCTTCTTTCTCGAACAAAAACAACCAGTAGACACACGCAGCCCGCCAGAAAGAGAGGTCCGGCCCATTCGCAGTACTCGTCGTTGTCGTCGTCGTCCTCTCATCTCTGCACCGGCCCTCTCCAACCTCACTCCTACCTTACCGTAGGCCGAGTTTGGTGGTTTACGCCTCCCGTGCCCGCCTCCTTTCGACCAACGCCAATCCTCGCATCTTCAAAATTCTGTCCCTTCTGTCACCCCAACCAACACCGCCAACCCTTCATCCATCCGCCCTTTGTCGTCCTGTGCCTGTCCAGTGTTGTCCCGGAATGAGGTAGCTTTTTCAATGCCCTCAGCTCCCTGACAGGACTGAGCTCGCCCGCATCGCATCGCGAACCCGATCTTCAGCGCCGTTGTGTCGACAATCCCGACTTGATTCGACACTCTCCCCCTCGAAACATTCTGCCGCCCTCGCCTTCACGCCATATCACGTCCAACGCTCGCATGATCTGCGCGCTGGCCGTTGCACCGCGTACACATGATAAGGGAGCATAGAATACCTGCTGGCCCACGACCGGCGAACCAGTCCCCGACCAGACTGTATGCTAATTCCCATTCCCACTTCCCCCTTTCAACTTTGCCCTCGCTCCTTCGTTGCTGTTCACGCCGCTTTGTTATGCCCTGACCCATGCATCCCTGGGTGGATAACTACCTTACAGAGAGCTGACCCGATGATTGCTGCAGTAATAGGGGAATCCCAGACTCGCAAACCAACTCACCCTCAAAGGGCTCATTCGCCGGCGGTCCAATGCTCAGTGCATCTTCAGCCAACAACCACCCTCTTTTTTCTTTTGGACGGAATGGCGCCGCGAACGAAGTAGCAGACTCGACACCTTCCTACGATTTTCTGCCCTCGGTCAGCTTCGACGACCTCCAGAGCAGTCTCGAGTCGGCCTCACACGACTTCAAATTGACTCAATTTCCGAATCCGACCGGTCAAGGTAGTATTCTCGACTCGGAGAGCATGACCGACAAGATGGGCGGGGTCTCAAACATCTCCCAGAATGGCGCGTCTGCGCGTGGTGGAATCCCACCTCCCGTCACTCGCCCTGGAAGATCTGGTTCAATCTTGAGAAGACCTAGCACGTCCAGCAGACAACCAAGCATCTCATCCATCGCTTCTGGGCCTTCGTCCGCTGCAGACGCGTCAACGGCCGCAGCGAGGTCCCGACGACAAAGCCACTACCCTCCAGTATCAAACACCAACATTGCGAAGCCACCCAGGAAATCCATCGGCCCGGGCGTCATTGAAACTGACTTTGGCAGTAATACTGCTCAACGTCGAAGACCGAGCCTGATGGGCACCGTTGGCAGTGGAACGGATTTCTCTCGGACCTCGATGGATGCCGGTGCCGGCATGGGCTTTGAGACTCCCCGGAATCTCGCCAACAGTAGAGCGACAAAGGCCAAGTCGATGCACCAGCCGCTTCCCCGATCAAATACTGCCAACTTATCAACACCAGACAACACCCGCCTTTCAACGATTTCTCCGAGATCCCCTCGAGGCGGCAGCAAAGGAACTAATAACGGTTCGGCCCAATCAAAAAGGCAGTCTATGATGCCTGGGGGGCAGCATGCGTCGCACGCAAGCGGACTTGGTGCCAGGACCATCAGTCCTACGGACACGCGAAGATTGAAGCGCATGTCCATGCACCAAACTCCGAGTCTCAACCAGGCGGCCAACGCGCCGCCACCGCCGCCGCTCGAGCATCGAGAGCACTCTCGATCACCATCAATGATACCCCGGAAGACATCTGCCACGCCATCGTCCTCCCGGACGACCCCGGACATCAACAGAAAATCGTACAGCTCCGGCCTTTCCATCACCTCAACCAACAGTTTCAATACAGTGAGAACATCTACAGGCTCAATTCAACCTCGAGCGCCTGTCGCGGGAGGTACTACATCGCGGCTACCGGCGCCAAAGTCGTCGAACCCGCATAATCATAACCCCCATTCCGCCGATGACGAGGAGGACGTCCCACCTGTGCCTGCTATTCCGAAAGCGTACGAATCACCACAGCAGTCAGCCACGGAGGCATCGTTTTTGGATAAGCGCAAAGCCAACCTCGCAGCGGATGCTAGCAGCATCAACAGCAATTCAACTGGCAGTTTCTCCATACCATCCCTCCCCGAACCCGCTGTTAAGGTCGCCCGAAAGGCTAGTACCCGGAAGTCGACGAATGCGGCTCCCTTGGATGCCGAAAAGAAGGGGAACGTTCCCCAATCGAGGAAGAACCCTCCACCCGTGCGGCTGCCCCCGATTACTGTCGGCCCGCTGAACCCATCGACGACCGCGAAGATTGCAGCTTTGGGCCAAAATGGCCCTGATCGAAACCTGAGCCCCCCTCCCTCACGCATCATCGCAAAGACACCGACTACCCCCATGACCGCGTCGAAAAGCTCCTTCTTCTCAAGAAACAGACAGGACGACAAGTCTGATTTCCCCAATTTGCGAAGCAGCAGCACTGTGCACCACTCCCGAATTGATAGTGCATCAGGTGCTGACGGCACAAGCTCGTCCGAGTCTTTCGCAGGGGTCCCGATACCGGTACCTTATAAAGCGACTAGAAAGCCCAGCGTGTCTCCATTCTTGTCCTCCTCAGTGCCCAAGCCCGGCGCCGATCCTGCTTTCCTCAAGAGGTCACAGACAGGCGACCTTGGAAATATCACGGAACCTCTCGAAGTAAAGCCACCGCAGAAACCTTCTGGACCCCGTGCCCAACGGCCTGTGAAAGCAAAGTCTCCCACGCCGCCAATCTCGGATCCGGAAGAACCACCTACTCCGTCCTCAATGAGCTCTTTACGTAGGAAGTTAAGCTTGTCGTGGAAACGTAACACCTCTAAGACGGATTCGAAAGCTAGCACATCGGAAAAGACTGTTGAACGCAGCATTAGTAAAGAGCAGATGCCACCGCCGCGGTTGCCTATTTCTGCAACGGTCGGGAATCTTAGCTCAGCCAAGAACAGCCCAAGCCCGTCTGTCAAGGCGAGTAACTCGTACCTCGAATCAAGGAGGAGAAAGAGCTCAGCAGCGAGCCTGGGCCATGATAGAACTAAGAGTGAGAACTGGACCTCGGCCTCCGTCCCCAAGACTGTCAACGACCCGCACAACCCTTCCGTCATGCAGAAGATTCTGCGCCCGAAGGCATCAGCAACGACCATGCGTCACCACGACCCGTGGACTGCTGAGCTCGACAAGGATGACCTAGTTGCCGAGGAAGAGATGAAGAAGATGGGCTCGAGAAGGAAAGAGACGGAGATCGCGGCTAGGACCCTCGACGCATTACGGAAACGTGCGACGCCAAAGGAACGAGTCGGTGCCCAGGAAGCTATTCGGATCGCCATGCTCAACATCTATGAGCGTGGTGAAATCGTTGATTACAACGATGTCTACTTTTGCGGCACGCAGAACGCGCGCAAGATTGTGGGCGATCTTCAATCTGATGCCCCCAACTTTGGTTACGATGACGAACGTGGAGACTATACCATTGTACCGGGAGACCATCTTTCGTACCGGTACGAAATTATCGACGTACTTGGCAAGGGAAGTTTCGGTCAAGTTGTGCGGTGCATTGACCACAAGACGGGTGTGCTCGTGGCTGTGAAGATTATTCGCAATAAGAAGAGGTTCCATCAGCAGGCTCTTGTAGAAGTCAACATTCTGCAGAAGCTTCGCGAATGGGTAAGTGATTCCGAACCTGTAGGCAGCGCTCTGGCTAATTCTGATTACAGGACCCCAAAAACCGACACAGCATGGTCAACTTTACTCACAGCTTTTACTTCCGGGGACATCTATGCATCTCCACCGAACTTCTGGACATGAATCTCTACGAATTCATCAAAGCAAACGCTTTCCGCGGATTCTCACTCAAGCTCATTAGGCGAATGACGAAACAGATGTTGAGCTCCCTGAATCTGCTGAAGCAGCACAAGGTCATCCACTGCGATCTCAAGCCCGAAAACATCCTGCTTCGGCACCCGCTGCACTCGGAGATCAAGGTCATCGACTTTGGCTCTAGTTGTTTCGAAAATGAAAAGGTGTATACCTATATTCAGTCTCGATTCTATCGATCACCCGAGGTCATCCTAGGCATGACGTATGGTATGCCCATCGACATGTGGAGTCTCGGATGTATCCTCGCCGAGCTCTACACGGGAGTCCCAATCTTCCCTGGAGAGAATGAGCAGGAGCAACTTGCCTGCATCATGGAGGTCTTTGGTCCACCAGAGAAGCATCTTATCGAGAAGAGCACCCGCAAGAAGCTCTTCTTCGACTCCATGGGCAAGCCGCGCCTGACCGTGTCCTCCAAGGGCCGGAGGCGCCGCCCTAGTTCAAAGACACTGCAACAGGTCCTTAAGTGCGACGATGAGGCATTCCTGGACTTCCTTGCGAGATGTCTGAGATGGGACCCCGACAGGCGTCTCAAGCCTGAGGAAGCCATCCACCACGAGTTTATCAGCGGCAAGAAGATGAGCGCTCCTCTGCCCCGAGTTCCGACGGCACGTGAGGCGTCGCCCGTGAAGCGCCACACCGTTGGTGCGCCGCGACCTCTTCCCGAACCTCCGGCTTCCGGGCTCAAGAGCGGTATTCGATCCCGAGACGTGAGCGGCGCGAGCCCTCACAAGCCCGTGTCAACGGCATCATCTCGCAGGCCATCTGTAGCCACCAGTGGAACGGTTCACGTTGCTACAGCCAAACGAACCAGCACAGGCCAGGGAGGTGTCACCATTGGCACTAGCAGTCTCCCGCGCGCGGCAATTAGGAGCGTCAGCGCCAAACAAGACTTGGCTTCCGCCGGAGCCACTGCAGCCATGAGTCGGAGGGGTTTGTGAGCAACACCCTCTCAATGACTCTGTGGTCGCCGCACATACAGAAGACGAATAGAAGTATTGAAGCGCTTGTTAGATGTGGTTTATGAGGCATTGGGTAGTTGATTGTTGTTTTTTTATTCCCTCTCTGCGCTACATCCCTTACGAACAGCGAACATGTTCCTGCGCCATGACCACGTTTGAATGGAGTGACGCAATACCCAGCACGAGAGAAAGTCACAACCGGGAGGAAAGGAGTCAAATTTAGGCATGAAAGGGCTGTTCTCTCCATGAAGAGTACGCAGTCGGGGGTTGCGGGCTGAAAGCCCTGTTGTCATAAAAACAAACCGCATTATTTTCTTTTCCCCCCAAACGTATCTCCGTTTCTACGCATATATAAACACACACGGAAGACGTGAGTCCGAGGCTCGCCGGTGTGGAGTAGTGTATGGAGGAGTGGCTGGTTTCTCGGCCGCGACGGATAGGGCCAGGTCCGGCTGTACGCGACCTGCTATTTTGTGTGTTGTTGCCTATCACGATCACCACGAGAGAGATAGAGATGTAGGCAAATATATGTATATTAATAATGACGAATGGCCCTTTTCTAACGAATGGACGCTCCATCTTGACTGGGAGGTGTGTGTTTGGTGTATCGTGACATTAGGACTGCTATGCAAATGTGAGGAAGGTGGGAAGGTTACTTGGTAGGGTACGTAGGCTGACGGTCTTGTCTGGTATCTACGCCGTTGCGATGGTTTTGAATCAGGATAAGGAATGGAGAAAGAGAGTCCAGGCGTGAGTATGCCTCGTAGGCTACAAGAAATCACAGGAAACACAGATGTTGCAAAACAAGGAGAGACAAACATCACGATAGGGTAACTTTGATGGAAACGGAGAGGCGTAGCAAGGGAAAGAAGACGGACACCTCGTAAAGGTAGGCATACATAGAATGTAGGCAATTGAGATTTGTGACCTCTTGTTTGGCCTGGATTATCTAGGTATCTCGTGATGTGATGTAGACGTCTGGCTAGGGGTGCCGGGTGGCGAGGAAAGCAGGGGGTGAGGGAAGGGAAGGTAGGGTAAGGTAGATGGGCGGCGATGGGCTTGGATTGGCGTGCCCTGTACTCCGTACGCCCTAGTAGGTCTACCTACCGACGCATTGGGATCTCTCTTGCTAGGTAGGTATCTGTTTTCCGCGAGGCAGATGGAAGGGATCTATGATTCAAACGGGTGGTCGAGGCCTCCTTGGCCTTTTTGGGGGGGAAGGGACTCGGAATTACAGACGCCACGCCGTTTCTTTTCCCACGCCCTCGAGTCCCCAACTACCGGACCCTGGATTATTTGGGGGCCGGAAGGCTTGCGCCATGCTGGCTTTGAGAGGGGGGGGATGTTTCTAGGTAACAATGTTGGACTCCAATGGACCTGATGACGAGTGGTTGAGAAGAACGGTTTGGAAGTTGAGAGGGTAATCGCAATGTGTGCTGTATCATAAAGACATACATACTGCAGGCAGCAAATGTCCACCACCCTTCGTACCCGGGCATGGAGAAGTCTTGGATCGCTCATTGTCTCCCAATGGTCCTTGGCACTGATGGCTGCGATGAGATAGCACTTGGGTTCGGAAGTATATCAGACCATGAGGGAGGACCCGGGATCCTTCATGACTCTTGACTCTGCCGCTTTAGATGCTTGGTGCTCCACGGGACGAGGAACGGTGGAGGGGAGGGGGGGGGGGAGCCGGGGGGTTCCACCTGCGATCTTGACTCAATGGACTTCACTTCTCTTCAAGGCCGAGCATTGGCTTGAGATCGTGGGTCTCGAAAGACAAAACGAAGAGAGAAAGAGCCTAGGCCATTCCAAGGCCCCAAAGCCTCCATGATCTCATGTTTCACATCCCGTGGTCCCCTTGACCGCAGAGGAATGAACACATTGGGACCCCCTTAATCATCCGTACTGCGGCAGGGAATGCGGCGGCACAGCGTCAAAAGGTCAAGGGCAAGGGCACAAGACAAGACCCCGGCGTAGCTGAAAGATATATGGGTTGATCCCTGGCTGTGGAGCAAATGCGCGCTTGCGGTGCGGCTGCGGTATTGCATTTCGGGGCCGTTCGGGCGGGTGTTTGGCCGGGGGGTGTACCTTCTGCTTTCGCGGGACCAAAGACGGCGGAAATGGTGGAAAAGAAAGAACACGAAGGGCTGCTGTACGGTTCTGTACGGACACCGACAGCGAATGTGAAGGATGAATCCTGCCGGAACGACCCATCGGGAGGGAGTCCAGGCTCGCTGGCGGCAAGGCGGCTCTCTTTCTGACGACATTGGTGGGGGAGAATCGGGAAGCGCACGAGAATGCCTTGTAGGATTCACCACGCCTTTCTCATCGCGTGTGTGACGAGTGTTTTTGGCCCCACGGATCCGCGCGGATGTCAATGATCGGCAAACCGTCAAAGCTTGGACGGTTTGCGAGCGCCGAGAAAAACGACTGCCTAGAGGTTGCTGGAGCGGAGAATGGGATGGCTGGTTCCTTCTCCGAGCGCTTGTTTCCTAGGCGTGGGGTCCTTGCCGAGGTCGAGACCACCCCGTTCGACATTGAGCCTCACATTTGCCACTTGATAGGACTTTGTTGTTTCGAGACATTGTTGCAACAAAGAAGGAGTTCGGTATCGAATCTCTTGGAGGTAGGTAGCACCTAATGCTCCCGCTGTATCAAAATATTCTGGTCGTACCGGTACGCCAGGACTTGTCAATTAGCCCGGCATATCTTCTCGATCGCCAGGGGCGTGTGGCCGCGGGAAGAGGCCAACACTGGAGCTGAGACATGGGTGCGGGAACAGAGGAAAGCCACAGCACGGCTCGGGGACTTTTCTATTGGAGTGGGCCTGGTGACCACTGAGTCCTGACAGCAGTGAGGTTCAACCGTTCGTTTGCTCTGTAGTGGATGTGGCACGGGTCAGCCTGACAGGAAACACTAAACAGACCAAGTTAGGACGGCGCGGGAACCGTTGCAGGGAACACACCGGCCGAGGCACGGATTTGGAAACGGGGTGTGGCTGGGGACGCCTTACTGTGGTTCAGCACAAGCCGGCGCCAACTTCCACCGGCCCTGCTGCTTCACTTGCGACGTGCAGTCCTGGATCACGATCCCTTGCCGCAATGGAAGACCGAACCAGTGGAGAGTAGGAAACAGAGGGAAAGGGTTGTGCTTTCCCGTGATCTCTTCTTGATGACACGGTATAGGGTATTGCCAACACAAACAACGCCGGGGAGCTCCATGTTCGAGACATGCTGCTAGTGGGAGAGAAGTGCGGGTTTCCGGGTGCATTGATGCAGAATGATGCTGATGACGGGTTGAAAAGGCGCGGAGTAGGGTAACTCGTAAGATTCCCACGATTAGTGCATTTGCAGCGGATAATGAGCGGAGAGACTTCAGACCGACTAGACAGGCATCCGGGGGGCACGCATGCATCGTGCTTGTTTGTGTTTCAACAAGTGAGAAACCTAGGAGGAAATGACGGTATACTCTGAGGTTTGAACGGCACGGCGGCAGTTGAACACGTCGAAGTGTGGACATGTTGAGCAGAAAGCCCCACACAAGACCGACGGCGACTCCGGCCAAGACGTGGTGGGAGAGACGGGGCGGCGGCGTTGAGCGGTAGATAAAAGTGGACCGGGACTCTTGATCCCACCGTGATGGGAAGAGGCCCTTGTGGTTCAGTCGCGGTGGCTTGCTGACTGCGAGGCTGTGTCGAAGCTAAGTAGACAGGGGCCGTAACTCACCCATGGCGACGACAACGAGGGGTCGATCCCTGGATGACGTCCAGTGGCAGGTCGAATGGCATCGCTGGTTCGGTCACTGCCCAATCGCTTGCGCTCCTTGCGAGACAGCAAATCCTTGCTCCTAGTGAGGATCCCCCACAAAGTGAAATATGAATCGGCTCGACGAGGCTGCTGCAATCTCGAAGCAGTCATAGCGAGATAGAGTCATTTGAAGTGCATAATGATGGTCCGATTCTTTACTTGGACTTGCTCGTGGATTCTGCAGATACGCAGACGCGAAGAGGTTGATTATCCCGCAGAATCAGGTATAGAGTAAGTGATATCGGCCGACGTATCATCGCAGCTTTCGTCCGAGGTAATTAGTCCGTACCGCTGCTAATAGAACAAGGTAGCAATACAATCAAGTCCGGTCATGAATGTCGGACGTGGTATTCGTACGGGGATGAGGATGAGGGGTTCGAGAGTGCTCTTCGATTGGCATAACCCCAACCGGCGGGGTTCCTAATGCTGCATCCTCCACCTCTCCGCCCGGTCCCGCAGATGGGCCTACCCGCCGGGCGCTCGGAGTGGCAAGCCACGGGATAGATGTGGCATCGGACCGTTCGCCATCGGGCACCGAAAGACGCGCATTCGTGATTGCGCGGCAATTTCGACCGTTGAGGACGTGAACCCGGGTCGCGACCCTTGACCGGGCGAAGACATGTCTTGGTGAGCCGGATTTGGGGCTTTCGGTGAGCGCAGGCTGCTCTAGGCGACATTAGAATCTTTGGCACTTGGGGGGCTCTATGGTCTCGAGAGTCGAGAGTAATAGCCTAGGGTTGGGGTTACACAAAGGCCTCGTAATGTCTTGGTGTATCTAATTTCTGGCATTTTGCGGTACTTCGTACGGTCGGCGGTAGTGGGCTGCAGGACTTTGACGCAGGTCTTGTATCGGGCCCGTCTTGCACGAGATGCATCGGCCCCAGTGCGACGGTGGAGTGCCTGTGTTGGTCGTGCATCGAGCACCACAATGCTGTGAATTACGATGAATTTGTTGGCCGACTGGTCTGAAGCTCCGCCGAATCCAACTGTGCTTTCTCATCTTTACGGGTTCCTGGATCTGTCCCTGAAGCGCCTCAATCAACAGCCAGCCGAAGAGCTGTCTTCCCAAGGGCCAGAAGTAGAGAAGTGTACCTAGTTGAGTGATTGGATGGGGGCGTGTTCGTGTACTCTCTAGGCAAGCGTGCGGTCTAGCGAGCGGGACCCTGAACCAAGACATCGTGTAAGACGGCCATGTTGGACCGCGGACCGTCCTCCGAATCCCGTCCGTCGTGTTAGCCAGCCGGCTATCAGGATTGAGGCCAAATAGCGAGAGGGTACTCCGTAGATGGTGGGCAGAGCCATAGAGGTGACGACTGACGGGTGATGCAATGAGACCCGCGTTACAACCAAAGCCGTGGTCTTGTCATAGGATATGAAGTTGTGACGCATCGTTTCGGAGTCGCCAGTGACAAATCCTAGTTCAAGTTGCAGCACATGGACGAATTGTAAAAAATGCTGAAATTGGTGCATTTCTCTCGAATGTGTATGGACGACGGCCAAGAATCCCTACCCAGAAGTACGTCGCTAGTGAACCTCCCACGGAAGCGGTCTGTCACCTGAACGGAGCCGGGGAGGCAGTGAAGACGAGCACGTGAGGGCCATGCCTGCCATTGCCTGTGCGCACCAGTCAAATGGGCGAATTGGAAGGGCTTGGCGGGCGCAAGCTTTCGTAATCAAGCACACGAACTTGCCCTTTTTGGCAAACCTGCATCCCCATGTTCCTTCCAAGTTCCCACTGCATCGTCGCTCGCCCAGGCATCCCAGGCAGCACACCCTCATACCTCTTGCCCGTTTCCTTCACCACCAGTGGACCTCGCCTTCCTTCATCACTACCTTACTACGTAAGGTACCTTGCTGGGTAGGTACAGATACCCTTCCATTCTTTTGACCACACGATCCATCCTTTCCCAGACCCTGGAGTTCGGACTCAAGCATGGCCCATGCAGCAGCCCAGGGCAGCAGGAGTCCTTGGCCCAGACTCCCATGGGCCTTTCTCCCTCTCTTTTTCTCTCTTTCTCTGAAGTCTCGAGTCCTACCTTAGGTAGAAATCGCTTTGCTCTACCTACCTATGATCTCACTCTCATCGGCTTAGCTTCTGTACTGCACCTCTGACGCTCTTTTTCTGTCTCGACGACCACCACTAACACCACCACGTAGCAAAGGATACACACACTTGACATGACGCCAAATCCGTCCGCTGACCTGCGTCCTGTGCCTGCGTTGACCGACAGCCCTCATGCAAGTTTTTTTGGATCTAGCTGCATTGCTATCGTCAACTGCTCGTCAACGCCGTTGCAGGCTCCCTCACTCTGCCGCGTCTAGTCTGATACCTACCTACTACACACATCTACGGATATCAACCATACACTAGCAAGTACCTGCAGCCACTCCAATTGCACACCGATGCCTGCTTTCGAAATTCCAGAAGGACTCGGCGAAATCATGCATAGTGAGGCCGATGGTGGTGGTGGTGCTGCTGCTGCTCTCCATCTACAGGCCTTGCAGAACTTGAAACCAGCAGCCTACATGTCTTTCCACGGCCAAGACGATGAACCAAAAGGACGGGCTGCGAACCCGGGGCTATCATAGGATTGTCTGCAATCATTCGCCTTCTTCTCACCAGCCATTCCGTTGACAGGTTCACGGGCCAATACCGGAGCCTTGGGTTTGGAGGGAAGGACCCGTCGATCAAAGTCTCAAACATGCCTTTGCATCGGTCGAATGGCAGCTCGTCCCCCTTGAGACTTGCATTGGCCGGTGTACGGGGATTGACGGAAGCCGTTGCATCCAAGACATAGTCCACATTGGATCACCTACCTCCCTTTCGCCCACTCTACCTATCCACGGGACTAGGAGATGCTCATCCAAGCTCCCCCGTCCATGGATCATGGAGTACTGGGATCCGCTGCCCCTGGCATCACATCGCATCTCATTTTCAGCCATCACCAGGTACCCTGCGATCCAAGAAGGCCGCCCGAGTTTCTCTCACCAGGTGCCCGGGTCTGATCTCGACATGGCCTCCAATGACGGCATGATACTAAGCGCGTTTGATCTGACCATCCTCCCGATAACTGGGAAGAGCATGGAAACTTCGCATGCAGAAGCTCCCGGTCATGGTCAGCACCAGCACCAATTCGGAACGTACTGTGGCCAATAGGCACTACCAAGACAGCCACCACAGTATGGTGGAACCTCTGGTGGATGGCCTGCATGCACCATTGCACAGCCTTATCCCGGTACAATAGCACAACGAACAGTTGTTTGTATACGATCGCCTAGCTGGGGCGTCGAGTTACTTGGTCGATAATAACGGGCATCTCACCTTACCTCGATGCATGGCTATTCTTTCCTGACAGTCAGCACGAGTGTCATCTATGCCGACCTCTATCAACATAAGGTACTGACCCGTGCAAAGGAGCTTGCCATTTGAACCTATTATGGTCAAGCTATATTCGGCAATTGGATGGAGACAACTGCTTCCATTTCGGTCTGCTCCATACGTCAACCCTGAGCGTACTTATTCGTACCTCAAGGCAGGCTGCGGTTACTGTCCACTCAGAATCCAGCTTGGACGCTACGAGTACCAGGGTGACCTCCTTCAACCACGATGGAGATCCGAACCGGTCGCTCGCATGCCAGCCCATCACAGCAAAAGATTTGTACGACGTCCATCGGTACCTGACGCTTGGATCACGTCCCTGTTCTGTCGTGCTGCGACCAACTACGCTGCATCGTGGCAGAACAACTCCCCCCCTGCTTACCCTCAACGATTAACCGTTGCGGGCCTCAGAGCGCAACTGAAGCCACCGGGTGACAGATCAACACTAGAAACTCGGGTCAATCTTGATGACATGCCAGCGAATTTGGAGGGCCAAGTCTCGTCATACATAGCAAATGCACTTTCAATCAAGCGGCAGCGCGTTGCGGTCACCAAGGTGTGCATACTTGGAGGGCAGATTCTATGGGGCAGCTCGCGAACCTCTGACCGGCATGTTCTTCTTTTAGCAATGGCAGCCGTAGGCTAAGAGGCCAAGCTCCGACCGAGTGGTGCCTGTCCCCCGTTAGCGTGTATGCCAGACGAGCAATCGAAAATCGAAATACATGGGATAATTCGAGATCGAGTTCACCCGCGATCGATTAGGAACCTCGGAAAGGATATCAGTCAACGGGGAGTACAGCACCACCACCATCACACCTTATTGCTCCTCGTGGAAGGAATTTGCGTGGCGGCAGCACCGGGCAACGCAAAAAGATCGCCGCATCACAAACGGCTAGGCGTAACGAACCTCGGTGCAGCGACACAGAGTCAGCCCTGCGGTCCAAGACAATGGAGCTATCTTGGGGCCGTTCGTGCCATGCGCTGCCTAGAGCTGGTGCTGGTGCTGATGTCGAAGTCAGTGCCACCAAACCGATAATAGACAATTGGGGGTCTCTATTTCGCCCATTAAGCGCAACCACAGCACGAGGCGGCAGCCAGCGGCAGTCATGGCTGGATCGGACGAGCAGCATCATCGTCAGCAAAGAGAGGCTAATTACCTTACCTTACCTCGGGGTGAAGGGAGTAGTACCTGGCAGCAGTCGGCAGCACACGACATGCGGCATGCGACAACCTAAGCAGCATGCGGCGATGCGCATCTGTGTTTCCAGAAATGTTTCTGGGCGCAAGGGGAGAAATAAAGATGGCTCACCAACCATGCACCACGACTGCAATTCCATATCGTCTTCCAGAGTACAACACCGCGGACGGGACCAATTGGCATTCGTCGATTCCTTTTCGTTTCGTACAACCATCCACCCATGCCCGTCCCATTCCATCCCATCGCGCATCAGCCCTGCTGCACCTCATCAACCCAAAGTATGGGGACAGACCGGCAGTGTCCATTTTGAGAGATGTTTCGATTGGAAAGGATGCTGAAGATGACTCTTTTGACCGACCCCCCCGTTCCCCCTTCACCCTTACCTCAGGGCTCCCGTCGCCAGTCTCCATCGGAGCCAGCCCCCCCTCCACTTGTGCACACCTACATCTACGAATACACAGGAAGGTATCCGTACCTAGTCCGTACCTAACGTACCTCACTTGGCTCTCGTTGATGTGCCCTGTCTAGTTCGCTCGAGTACGCACGCCCACCGCCATTCTCACCCCCCCTCCACCCCAGCCCGTTTTCCATCGCTCACCCCTCCTCTCCGCCTGCTCACCTCTTCGTTCTGCTCGCACTCACTCTTTCTCTTCTCACACCTTTTTCACTTGCTGCGCCTTACCAGGCCATGATGGAAAGGTGCAAGGCACCTTTCCCTGGCCCTGCCCTGCGCCATCAAGACCTCTGGTCTGCATACCGCTCTAATGCACAAGATGCAGCCTTAGTCATTGGTCTCACTCAGACAGATGACATCCACTGTCGACTGCCAGAGGGTCCCACTGCTGCCTTAGACGGCTCTCTACCAATCTACCAATTGCCTACCCGTGTGACGACCTCCCAGGCTGCCAGGCCTATAAGGTCGTGATGCCTTCGCTCTTTTCCATCTCCCCATCCTTAGTCTACTCCAGTATAAGTCATCACGAACACACTCACTTGGGTTCCCTTTTCTATTTCCTATTTCTGCCTTGTTCCCCTTGCTTCTCTGCATACCTGGCAGCTTTCAGTCTCTCTGATCATTGCTCAACTCGATATCCCCCCCCAACCAAACACCAACAACACACAAAGTTCCTCAAGAGATAAAGCCATCCTCTCCCCCGACTCATATCTCAGGGATCAATCCCTCAGTCCTCCACACCATACATCACTTCAGTCACTCAACGTACTTCTGAACAACGTTCACAATGTGCTATCAACTTGTCGAGCTCTACTCAGCATGCCGCTGCCTCTACTACCAGCACGCCATTGACAGATGCGCTGCCTACGGCCGACCAGGACATAGCATCCAGAACAGAACGATTTTGGTCGGATACGCCTGCCATGCCCACTCTTCATCACACAGCACGTACGCATCACAATACTCATACTCCGACTCTGGCTACCACTCTAGCCATTCAAGCAAGGGCTCCCGCCACTACCGGTGAAATGTCTTGTCTTCGATGATGGGTTGCTGTTCATGGCACTCCCCCAAGCTGCTGCTTTTCCAATTCGGCACTTGGGTTACCTACCTATACTCTTTCAGAGGAAGGTCGGCCTCTCAAACGCTGCCACCCTCGCAGCTATCTCTCCTCTTCGTCGGCCATGACCGTTTGATGTCTTCATCGGCGCCTCCCGCTGTGCGATGACTCTCCGGCCAATGGCTTATACGGATCCCTCCACTCCGGTCATTTTACCACCAACACCAACAACCTATTTTCCGCCATCACGCCCTGCCATGAAGTTCAGCAACGAAGTTATCGAAGACAGAGACGAGATCACGAACATGACGGAAACATTTTACGGCCTATCAATTGTCATCATCAGCGCGCTACAATTAAACGACATCTTCCACCAAGCCCACGCCCCCCCGGTCTCGCTCAAACTTCGACATCTTCTCGACATTCAACTTTTTCCGACCTTCTTTTCCTCTTTTCCCATCTCGGTTTCTTCCTTCTTTCAATGGATGTGGTTTCCTTCCCTTTCGACATTGGACATGCATAGCGTTGGTTTTGGGTTTTTTTTCTTGCATTGGGCGGTTGGGATGAACACATGCATACAAGAGATGCCTAACTTCTAATTGGGCTGGACCTCATCTTCTCTGCCTTTGGGGCATCACTTTGGGTTTACGCTTCGGGTTTCAAGAGGGGGACTTTTTTTCTTCTTCAAGTCAGCGGCGGCAAGATTCGATTCTACAGGCATTCGGCAACGGTCTCATTTTCAACTTTGTGTAGTTTACGGACGAGTTTTCGATGCATTTGGCGGGCGGGCGGGCGGGAGGATACCAGGCGTTCAGGTTCGGAAAGATACAAGCGCATCGCTGCGCATGCGATGGTTGACGAGATTACCAGGGTGAGCGAGGTTTTTTGTTGTTGCATTGTTTTTTTCCTTGTTATGTCTTGCATTTTCTGCTTTCCAATGTTGCATATCAGAGTTGTTGCCTTCTCTCTCTCTCTCTCTCTCTCAATCTCTCTACTTACTCTTCTTCTGTTCTCTACCAAGATTTCTCTCTCTTGCTTTCTTCTCTCACATGATCTGTACCATCATCCGATGATAGACGAGTTGCTCTGGGAGCAACGGGGAAAAAACCAATGACGGGTGTCAACAGCAGAGACACACACGCAAAAGGGCAACTGGAATGCCCGCAACGAGGAAGAAAAGAGCGTCATGACGCGCGCCTTCCTTCACCTCAACACAACTTTTGATGCCAGACATCATTTTGTTTCGATTCTTTGAGATTCGACCAATTAGCATTTCTCATTCAGGGAGACTTTTATCTTTGTACTGCCAAACTACACGGGGCTGTCTGGAACTTCCTGAGGTTGGTTAAAAAATCACACGGTATGGCAATTTTGCCCACCCCTGCAGGAATTGAGCTGGTTGCAATTGGAGGGCCAGATACGCACGACGATCTGGCCAGAGAATCATTGTATTAGAGAGACCACATTATCACATAGAGACAATCTGGAAAGAAATTCCAAGAGCTTCCAAGGACACAATTGATTGTGACACGATCGCCTAAGAGTTAAAACGGGAGGTGGCAAACAATGGCTTCAGCGGTGTAAGGCGAGATAGCTTGATGGAGAGTGAGTCAAGATCCTGCAAAGTTAGGCAGATTCGGGGCCATGTTACCCCAAGATAGGCCCCAATCAGAGGTTCGTCACGGGGGGGGAGTGTTTACGGGAAAGTGGGTTTTGTTAGCGACGTTGCAACCTGGGAGAGAGAGAGAGAGAAAAGTATTTGCGGACTTTGGCGTATTGTTTGCACTTTACTGAAAGGGGAATCATCTTTCAAATGTGTGGGCTTATAGAAAAATAGCAGGCAAATGATGTTGAAAGGATTCCTCCCCCAAGGGAAAAGGAAATGCTCGGGTACAAGAGGTTCGGGCCATGCAATGCCATCCTGCCCGTGGGGAACTTTATTTCGAGTAGGATCTCTCTCTCTCGGTCGTTGGCGGCTGCTCCCTCCTCGGTCTGGCTGGCTGGCGGGCGGGCGAAGGAACAGCAGGCAGGCATCAGCACTCAGTCGAGCCCGCCTCTTACACGCCATTGGTTGAGGGAGACGAAATCTGTTTTTGGGGGCCACGACCAGCCTCGTTTGGATGGCCGAGACTCAGCCTTGCGATAAGGGGTGGTGGTGCAAAAGCAGGGGTGTGTGTGTGTGTGTGTGTGTGTGTGTGCGTATGTGTATGCGAATGGGAAATATGGAAGACGCGAAGAAATTGGGGTTTTCATTGGCATGGTGGTGGTTCAAGGTGCTGACGGGATTTCGGGGAGGGGGTGCTACTTTCTTTGCCGGACGCACGGAGGAGAATGGAGTGCCGCGGGAGGCCTTTGCATGGGCTTCATGGTATCATGGGAATTCGGGCGGGGGTAGTGGAAAGGGGTGTTTGGGAGAACGTGAAAAGACAACGGGAACCAAAAGACGTGGGTACCCATCTTGGACGGGTAGGTGGGTACCTCAACTGCGGTTCCCACTCGCCGGGACTCGAGAAAATTGAAAAGGATTCTGAGACAGTGGTGAAGTTGTGGTGGGTTGGTGAGTGGGAAAGACTCCCGGTGAGATGGGTTGATGCAGTGCAGCAGTGTTGAGCGGGAGTGGGAGGGGGTGGTGTGTTTTGTTGTCCAAATGGGGGAAATGGAGTGCAAGAGACGTATGCATGGGTACGGAGTATGGTGTTTGTCAGATCTGCCATGGGTTGAGCTGTACCGCACAGAGTACGAGGAAGGGGAAAGAAACCCTTGAATTGACGGGTACCTAGAAAGAAAGCCTTGCGCCAAGAAGGGCGTGTAAGTTTGGACAGACCTATCCGTGGACCGTACCTGGGTACGCAGATGCGGATGGTGGGGTTTCCCTTGGGTCGTGTCTGTCTGGTCCCGAAAGGAAGTAACTGGGAAATCGGGAACGGCAAAGTCAGGTAACACGGGTACCTATGGGGAGTGACGTGCCGGTCCAAATCTTGAAGCGGACAGAAAGAGACAGATGAAATGCATGGGAGGTACCGTTCTAAGAATAGATTTATTTTTAAACGTGCGGAGGGGGAGACAGACAGACAGACGGAAGGGGAGAATTGAATTAAACAGACGAACACCGCAACGAACGGATGGTGGGTAGTGGGGAAATGGGCGACTGACAAGTTGACAACCTAAGCCCAACGAGCGAGCTTGTGCGCGCGCGCGGCGCCCGTCGCGGCAGATGGTCCAGGGTGCGTGGTTGCCAAGGGCAAGGACATGGGCGTGAGGCGCTGAAATAAGCGAAGTTCCGCGCTTGTTGGGGAATAGCCGCAATTGAGTGTCATTTGGTGTGACAGGTGAGCCGGCGTGGATTTTTGTGGGGTGAAAGCTATTTGGTGAGGTGACGGACCACGGGCCACGGAACCTGGGAAGGTGTGCTGTGGGGTCTAAAAATGAACATCGTACGGGCAGGGAGGGCATGGGGAGCACATGGGAATACCTCCCGGAGGTCGGGGATATGAGATCAATGTCTTCTTGATGGATTGCGCATATCTTTTTGGGACATTTTTGGTTTCTGCATGGGACTTTTCCGCGTCTTCTTTCTCTCGGGGAGTATAGGGTAGCGTATACGGGTGATTGTGAGTCCAAGTGTAAGTGGTGTGTGGGCTGCATATGTTTCTTTTTTGGACCGTGTCTTAGGGGAAAATGCGACGGTAAGCATACATGAGATCAATGAGGGAGGGATGAAGTGAGTGCTTAGTGGTGGGGTTTGCCGCTTGCCGCTTGCCGCTGCCGCCCTTGGTGGTGTGTCGTACAGTAAGATGCCAAAAATTGCCTGCGGTGAAGAATGCGCAGGCTTGAGGAGGGGGGGAGGGGGATGATGTGTGTGTGGTGATGTGTTGCTCGCACTTGTGTATGTGTATGCACGTTCGTGTATGTAAGCGGTGTCTAAGTATGTGTGGGCGGGTGGGTTTGGAGGGTGATGAGCGAGAGTTGAGTGGTTGAAACCGTACACCATGGTAACCCATCAAGGAGGGTCGAGTAAGATTCTCATCAGATTACTTAGACGACAGGCGCGGGAAGGCGCAAGCGGAAGAGGGAGAGATACGACACGTGCCGCAGACACGCACATACCTATGGATGCATAAGCGCAAGCGCTTTGCGGTCGTGCAAGTGTGTGTATCGCGGCGTGAAGTGTCTGGTCAGTCTAGACGGGGCTTGACGCTAGGGCTCTGAGCCTTGGTTTTGGTGGTTGCAGCGCAGCGCATGGTTTACGATTGGTGACATGCGAGATTTCCCAGATATGAGGGACGCCGACCGAGGGCTGGGTCGGTGGTTTCGACATGAGGTCACCCCCCCCGGTACCTCCCCACACCCCCTGCCCTCATTTTGGCCTTGTCCTTGCATTCTACTCTTGTGTACGGCGTACAAACTCGACGTATTTGTTGTTGGAAGCATGGGCGTAAGGGGACTGGTCCCTAGGCATCAATTCGAGATGCCGAGAAAATGCAATCATGTATCCTTACGCTGCCATCTAGAGACAGCCTTGTCGCTGGGAGCTTAAGGCCTAGGCTCACTTGTCAGTACACCGTACTCCGTACATAGGGTAGTAGTGGCGTTGAGACATCAGACATGACAGCTGTCCGCTATGCAGATCGTCCAAACATTTACAAAATTCAAATTTAGACAAAAAATGACTTGATCAATAAGGGGGGGGTAGAAACGACAGTCGGTCGTATTTTCTGCCCAAACGCCAGGGGGGGGGGGGGGGCATGTCCCTGTCCTGTTCGTCTGAAGAAGCAACTGCTCATCTGAACTCTGCTCCATTCTGAAAGAGGGTCACCCGGTAAATGGGATGCCTCCTCACCTGAAAATCGTGGGACTACGGATACTTCGTAGTTTGATTTCACGATGTTTGCGTTTCTTTCCTTGCCGTGTATCATTTGAGTTTCTTCCCCATTGTTGCTGTTCTTTAATTCCCCTTCGATGGTCGGAAAGTAGAGGGGGGACGTGCGGCAGGATTCTCGGCATTTTGTGACCTCTGATGGCCAAAGAAGTGCCGAGGGAATGAAAGATACCATGCATCGCAGGAAGGATTTGTTGAAATCGAGATATCGGCTTCGGGAGGTCCTGAAGGAAGGCAGTTTGTCGTCGGACAAGGGG